CCCTCCCGAATGTCGAGTGAATGTTGTGTTTTATTGTTTAATTTATTCTCGCTCACATTTCTTTTTGTATTTGTCCTACACTCCCTTTCCCCTTTTATTGTAAGCCGCCCTGAGTCCCCTCAGGGAAAAGGGCGGCCTATAAATGCATAATAAATACAAATACAAATATATTGCTAAATATTCTATATATGTGTGTGGATGGAGCAACTAAGAAAGAGAGAGAGAGTCAGATTAAAAAGGTATTATTTTTTTAATCCACTACAGGAGGCCATGGAAGGCCTCTTCGTTGTAAGTTATGGAATGTACCATATTTTTTGTACTATAAGATGCACCTGACCATAAGACGCATATAGGTTTAGAGGATGAAAATAAGAAAAAAAAATCAGGCAGAGCCTGAGATGACCAAAGATAGGTGTTCTCTCATGTGCCAGCTCTGCCTATTGACTTCTGCACTGGGGAAAAGAGACAGAAGATGTGGGCAATGACGAAGACAGAAGAGGTGGGGTTCGGCACTGTAAAAGGACTCCACAGCCACAGTCTGGCTGCTATTCACCAAAGGACCAGAACCGTTTCCACCCACTTTTTTGGTGGGGGGGGAACATGTGTTTTATGGAGTGAAAAATATGATAATCTACCCCTCTGTTCCAGCTTGTATTGGTAAATCAATGATACTCAACTGAAAGAGAATGACTGACCCACAGTTACCCAGGTGGTTCTTGCCTAAAGGAAGATTAGAACCTTGCTAGAATCTGGGTTCCTAATCTAGTACCTTAACTACTACCCCATCCTGGCAGTCACAGAGGGAGTAAATTACATTTGGATCCTTTGGTTGATCATTTCCTTTCCCCTCTACTGTTTGGTTATTTATTTATGCAAAGGTCTTCTGAAGGTAGTAAATTGAAAGCTGCCACAGATTTCTCTGATAGTAATCCCCAATCTAGTACAGGTATGTTTACATCTCTAATTTTTTAATCTATTTATATATATTTCTTTCTTCCCCTTAGCCATCTATATATGGTATTCTATCTGGTGTTTCCCCTATTTTAAACAGAGGATTTCAATTTTCAATAGGCAAAACTACAAACAGCATCAGACATGGGATTATAACATGAGATGGTTTTACAAAAAAATGCAGATTTGACAATGCTATTAGTTGTTTTCTAGGGTAATCAGAATATTCTTGAAGTAATTTTAAATGTCTTTTAAAAAGAAAGCAGAAAACCCCCTCATTATGAATATTTTCATAATCAGGTTAACGTTGCCTAGGTAGATATATTCTTAATTTAATTACCATATTTTTTGGAGTATAAGACACACCTTTTCCCTCAAAAAAGAGGGTGAAAATCTGGATGCATCTTATATACTGAATATAGCATTTTGGGCTTCCTGAAACTCTGTCCCCTTCACCAAAATGGCCGTGCCTAGCCTTTAGGAGGCTTCTAGAGTGCTTCTGTGGGTGGGGAGGGCAGAAATGAGCAAAAAATGGGCCATTTTTTCTTGTTTTGGGGGCCCCAGCTCCCAGGAACACTCTATAAGCCTCCTAAAGGCTATGCATGCCCTTTTTAAAATGAAAAACAGGCCCATTTTCACAAAAAAAGCAGGCAGTTTTTGAGAGGTCTGCAGAATGCAAAAACATTTTTAAAAAATTTGCCTCTTCAAAATCTTGATACATTTTATACTCCACTGCGTCTTATACTCCAAAAAATACAGTAGACATTAAGCTATTTTTTTAATGAATGTCAAGCTGTAGTGGTGTAGTGGTTAGAATGCAGTATTGCAGCCTAACTCTGCCATGCCAGGAGTTAGTTCCTTACTGGCTCAAGTTTGAGTCAGCTTTCAATTTTTCCCATGTCAGTAAATGAGGACCCAGATTGTTGGGGGCAGTATGCTGCCTCTGAAATCTGTTTAGAGCAGTGAGCACATGGGTGTGGGTGGGCAGCAGAGTGCCAAACAGGGAGCACTTTGTGCATGCACCTGCTCGTCTGGGCCATGACCAGGAAGAGGAGCTGCCCAGGTGGCATGTGCGTGCTGGCAAATGAAGTTATAGTTTTAGGGGCGTGCATGCACGCTGGCCAGTTACCGCCATGCACAGATTGGCTGGTACGTATGCTCATCCCAGAAAATGGAAGACCAGCTTTTCTGGTTTCAGGCACTGCTGCATGAACAAAGGCCAGCTGATCGTCATGTGCACATGTACACCAGAAACTCAAAAGAGGAACGGGTGATGCCACGTGTGCCAGGCAACATGACTCCACCTGCCACTTCGGACACACATGCCATAGGTTCGCCAACATGGGTTCAGAGAGTGCTGTATGAAGCAATGTATAAGTCTAAGGGATATTGCTATTAAGCATGAAGAAAATGTTGAGTTACAAAGCTGCAACTATTATTTGCAAGTGTATTGGTCTTACTCCAAGGAACCTAGGAAAATATTGTTCTGTATGTGAGTCTGGTTTATAATGACAATATTTTCATTATTATAAAACATTTTCTAGGAATCTTTTGTTAGTTGAACTATGCTAGTTAAAACAATCTAGCTTTATCAAAAGCAGATTTCCTTTGCAATCTGCTTCTTATACTTTGATCCAGTGTATTTATAATGTTTCAAACAATTGGACACTCTTGACATTATATTGTAATCATGTTGTCCTTATTAATGTTCACTTCTGTTTCAGAAATCCAAAATTGCCACGTATGAAAAAATGTGGGCCTTTATGAATAGCAGAAGGCAGTCAGTGCTTGTCAAAGGCAACGAGGAAGGGATCCAACGTGTACTCACTTCTGATTATGCTTTCCTAATGGAGTCAACTACCATTGAGTTTGTTACCCAGCGGAACTGTAACCTGACACAAATTGGAGGCCTGATAGATTCCAAAGGTTATGGGGTTGGAACTCCCATGGGTAGGTTGCTCATCCTTTCTAATTTGTATTCATTATTGTAGTTGCAATGATAACAGATGTTTCCCAGATTGCTAGCCACTCGATTTGTGTAATAACATGATGTCCTATTTATTGTAAATAGTATTTATATTGTTAGGGTAGTGTCCAAGTATTACTAGGATGATATGCTAATAATACTGTAAGCTTTATATATTTATTTTTCAACTGGAAGAATGTGATCTCTGCTAAGGAAATAATTTCCATGTATGGCTGCCTAAAAATATAAATACCATATTAGCAGATGCATGATTTTTTTTTAAAAAAAAGACAACATTTTCCGGAAAAGAAAACTTTAATTAAATGTGATTGTAGAGGACTCCTGTGACTATATTCCTGGTTATTCAAGGTTTTTTTTTACTCCTTCTCCAGATGCCAAGTTTGACTAGTGAAGTATTATATTTGTAGATTTACTTTCTGTTGGGAGTGAATATAAGCAGGTGCTTGAAGAGCTTCCAAAATTATTGACTAATCTCTTTATATGACTAGTTTTGGACAAGCTAACCCTATTATTAGGTTTTATTATAGAGCATATTACCGATAGTCATTTGGGATGTAATTTGAAATATTATCAGAGTGTTCATCCTGACCATGCAGGGCTCTTCAAGGCACAATATCTCAAGTAGATTTCAATATTTAGCAGTTCTCTGCTAACATCCGTAGACTACAGTACCATAATTAAAGCACTAGTGGAAATAATGAAAACAGAAAAGCTAAAGAAGCATGGATGGACAATAATCTTTCTGAAATTGTCCTTTTAGCCTCAATATTTACATTATATTTCAACCAAGGTATATGAAACCTGGTTGAAAACTATTGACTTCAAAAGATTAAGAATATATACAATTGTCAGAAAAGTTTCATACTCCCTGAAGTTGTATAATGTCTATCAAGAATAAAATACCAATGATAAAAATATAGCTTTCCAATATAATTTTATTGATCATTGAATCTATGCCTTCAAGACCATTATTTAATTTCAAAATTCTGACCCAAGAACCTTTCATATTGCTTTTGGCAAGGAGTTCAGTTTTCTTCATGTTTTGGTCAAAATTCTATAACTGTTCTATGGCGAAGTTCAGTCTCAGTCTGAAAAGGATTTCTGTTGTGTATTATGTTTTTTTTATTCTTTTCCCAGTGTAATTATCTGTATTCTGTAAAGAAAGTAACATAGGGATTGGACAAAGTGGGTGGTAGTTTGCATGTATTATATATGCAGTTTGTTATTAGATCTGCTTGCTTAATTTAGTTAAATTATTGTCAATAGTGTCTTACGCATGTTAGAAAATTATGCATTGTTACTGTTGTTGCTGTTGTTATTGCTGTTTTCCACCTAAGCTTGAAAAGGCCCCTGACTACAATTCTAGAGCGTTGTTGCTAATAAGCTTTGACATTATGGACCTAGATAATCAGGTCTAAGTCAGTGTAAGACAATTTCCTGGTTCCTCTGGTTGCTGTTGGGGAATATTTTTCTTCTTTTATTTCAGTCAGCCGAATAGCGCATGATTAAAGTGCTCTTTGGAATTAGCTCATTTTGAAGGCTTGTCTTTTTCATCTTAATTCATCAGGCAGAGCATCTCGAAAGAGGTATTTCACACTCCGCTCCTTTAAATTAAAGGCTTTGCCACCCAAAAGGGGTTTCAGACAATAATTTATGATCCACAGCTTCATACTGTATTCTGCTCAGAATATGACTTCATGAATTATTGATATTTACCCAGTCCATTAATGAGTGCATTATAATGCTGCTGTTCTACCTTGGTATGCAGAATCCTTGCTTTGAGTAGACTTTGAATCTACCATATTTAATTACTAGGCAATGGCCAGTAATAAACAGTTTAGTTTATTCAGTCTGCATTACCTCTTGGGAGTGATTTTGATCTTTATGTTCTTATGGCACTGAATTGGACAAAGCTAGCATTGCCTTTCCAAAAATTCATTTCATTCTTTACCAGAGCAAAGAATTATGTACTTTATTTTCTTCTTAAGCATTTTCAAGCTTATCCCTTCAAGGTTTATAGTTTCCCTTAGGCTGGGTGATACAGACCAGGGTGGGATGATGGTGGTGGTGATTATTATTATTATTATTATTATTATTATTATTATTATTATTATTATTATTATTATTATTATTATTATTATTATTATTATTATTATTATTATTATTA